CTTCAGTGAATTATCTTGGACACTAAACCTCTGACTCCAGCCAAGTCAGCTGGATGTCAGCCGCTCATTGCCCAAGGGAACGGCTGTCAAGGGGAAGCTAAAGAAAAAAGTGTCAAATTCTTGGCTCTTAACTTTCAAAAGGCAGGTCCAGGTATAAGCTGGCAAAACTGTGGAAGGATGCAAATTCTTCCAAATCCAACCAACCTTGGGGGGCAACCTCCTTGCAAGAACCTGGAGCACTTTACCATCACTGCCATCCCTCCAATGGGAGATGGAGCCTGACACTGGGGTCTCACCAAGTGAGAACAGTAGTGGACCACTTTCTATCTGTGATGCACTTGAATGGGATTGCTTGCTGACCTGCTGCCTCTCACCCAGGCTGAGTTCCCTGACCCTGGGTCTTGGTCTCCCTCCGTGTTGTGTTCACATGTCTAACACAGGGCCAGATTCCTCACTCTTGTATGTTCTCTTTGGCTTCTTCTGTATATTGAGGAAGCATATTTGTTAAGAAGTTTATAACCTGGGTTCCATGTGTCCTTTGGGAGATTTAGCAGGGCAGGAATAATAGGTGAAGTTTGAGCCTCCTGTGTTCATTTTTCTTTAGCTTTTATTAGATTCTTAAAGGAAATGCTGATCCAGGAAAAGTTGAGAACTGCTGGAACGGAGGATATACAAGGTCCCCCATAGTTAATAAAAATAGTGCCTACTCTGTGCCAAGCTCTTTCATATTTTGTCTCATTTATTGTTCATCCCAACCTTGTGAAGTAGGTGCTATCTGCATCCCCAATTTACAGGCAGAGTGGTTGGCCTCAAGAGGGTAAGTGCTTCACTTGGGTAGGAGAGCTGGGCCTTGAATTCAGGTGCATGCTTGGGGCCACTGTCCTGGTCCCCTCCTCCACCTCTTCTGTCACAGGATGTGCTAATCCTAACACATGTATGCTTCCCTTACCCATTTTGGTTTTGTCACCTGGAATGTCCTATAACTTTTATTAAATGTTTACAGTTATTTTTAATTTTAGTTTGGACTGATTACCTTTTTGAGTAACGCGTCTTCATGCTGTAGGACAATTTTTTTTTTTTTTTTGAGACAGTGAGATAACTCGCTCTGGGAGTTATCTCGGCTCACTGCAATCTCTGATTCCCAGGTTCAAGCGATTCTCCTGCCTTAACCTCCTGAGTAGCTGGGATTACAGGTGCATGCACTACGCCTGGCTAATTTTTATGTTTTTAGTAGAGACAGGGCTTCACATGTTGGCCAGGCTATTCTCAAATTGCTGGCCTCAAATGATCCGCCTACCTCAGCCTCCCGAAGTGCTGGGATTACAGGTGTGAGCCACCGCGCCTGACCAACAAAATTCTTTTACTCTATGATAAACTTATGTCTTTCTTCTTCAGGGTGGACCCTAAGTCCTAAAACCTGGAATCTGACCCAAAAAACCTGAATTGTTTTGTCTTTATATTCAGATTTTCCAAATTTCATATATCCCAGTAAATAATTGAAGAATGACTACCTCCGTTAATAGCTACTGTTCATGGGATGCTCACTGAGTGCCTGGCATGGTGTCAACTGTTTTAGCCTCATGATCTCATTTGATCCTTCCGATGTCCCTGTGAAGTAGTTAGTATTATTATCTCTATTTTATAGTTAAGGAAATGGAGGTTTAGACCCATGATGTAAGCTGCCCAATGTCACACAGCTACTACTGGCAGAGGTGGAATTTGAGTCCAAGTCTGGAAAATTAACTAGTATTCCACTTGCCAAGCCACTGGCCTCTTGACTGGGGTTGGCAGATTTATTCCTGTGCATCCTTCAATGGTGACAATGGCCCAGCAGTCTGGGTGGCTGGAGAGGAAAAAGTAGGGCTGCTTTGCTGCCTGTTGGGAGATCAGAACAGAGAGGACCTGTCTGTCTGAGGGATTCTTGATGAACTCTGGGTCCTCCTGGATACAACGAGGTGACTTGGAAAGGCCAGCAAAATGTAGACTCTGGCGAGGGGCAGATCTGGACCCTAGCACCCTCTGGGGCATGTAAGCCACTGCTTGGCCAGTCTTCCTTCTGGAAAGAAACAGGAGGCTGCTACTGCCTCTCTGTGCTGCCTGGGTGACCTCCAAACCCCAGTAATGAATGAGATCATCAGAACTGAGCAGCTCAGGAAATGCCTTTAGTGCCTTGTGGCTTCAGATATCCAAGGTCCAAATTATAACTTGCATCTGCCCAGTGATTTGCATTTCGGTGTTTATACTTCAATGATCTCGTTGAATCCTTTGTGTGTCCTGGTGGGCTGTGATGATCGTGTCCATTTGCTAGACCAGAAGAGGCAAGATGAACTGCCCAAGGTCATGCAGAGCTAAGACTTGAACCCAGGCCCTATTGACTCCAAATCCCATTTACTTGCACTAGACCAGTGATTTTTAAACATCATTCTGTGGAACTCCAGGGTGAATGGGGCAGGCCAGAGCAAGGGTCTCAGGAAGAGGAGGAGGCTGAGGAGGCTCTGTCTTCTTCTCTCCACTCCACTATGAGCTGATCTTTTTTTTTTTTTTTTTTTTTTTTTTTGAGACGGAGTCTTGCTCAGTCGCCCAGGCTGGAGTGCAGTGGCCGGATCTCGGCTCACTGCAAGCTCCACCTCCCGGGTTTACGCCATTCTCCTGCCTCAGCCTCCGGAGTAGCTGGGACTACAGGCGCCCGCCACCACGCCCGGCTAGTTTTTTGTATTTTTTAGTAGAGACGGGGTTTCACAGTGTTAGCCAGGATGGTCTCGATCTCGTGACCTCGTGATCCGCCCGTCTCGGCCTCCCAAAGTGCTGGGATTACAGGCTTGAGCCACCGTGCCCGGCCCTATGAGCTGATCTTATATCAGATTTCTGTGTAAGATTTGTTAGAAGATTTGTGTTCCTAACAAAATGTTTTCAGAACTGCCCCAAATGATTCCTTCTTCTCTGGGAATGGAGTTGGGGTTTTTCTTTTCCTAGAGCCCCCTTTTCTCTATTTGGGCAAGAAAAGGACTGCTCTCTGTTGGAGGATATACTTAACTACAGGATGGTAGCACAGGGGAATGTAAAAGGTACTGGACAAAGAGGCAGAAGACCTGGGTTCTACAGCTTTGGTGTGACCCAGTAAAGTTATTTACCTCAGTCTTCCCATGTGTAAAATTGAGGGAGTTGGCCTAGATAATTACTAAAATACAGTTCAGAGCATATAAACCGAGGATAGTGAGATCTTACACAGGGGTACGGCATCTAAAATTGAATGAAAATATAATTTTTTTGGTATGTGCGTTTTTATGGAAAGAGAGTCTATAGCCTTCATCAAAGTCTTAAGGGGGTTTGTGATACAGAATCTCTGGCTTCCTAGGATTTTTTTTTTTTTTTTTTTCCTGATGGAGTCTTGCTCTTGTCACCCAGGTTGGAGTGCGATGGTGTGATTTTGGCCCACTGCAACCTCTGCCTCCTGAGTTCAAGCGATTCTCCTGCCTCAGCCTCCCGAATAGCTGGGATTACAGGTGCCCACCATCACACCTAGCTAATTTTTTGTATTTTTAGTAGAATTGGAGTTTCACCATGTTGGCCAGGCTGGTCTTGAACTCCTGACCTCAGGTGATCCACCCGTCTTGGCCTCCCAAAGTGTTGTGATTACGGGCTTGAGCCGCTGCGCTCAGCCGATTTTCTTTTTCATTTTTTGACAGAACTGCTGGGCAATCTTGTTTCTCCTTTTGGGGGTATCAGGTTGTAAGAATGTTGTGAGGAAGGCATTTTCAATAAGGAAACTAGGGCAATATACAAAGATAAGCAGAACTAAAAGATGGAAGCTACAGGAAGGAGAAAGAGACTGTGAGTAACTTGACAATCTTATTTGTGCCCCTGTATCCAGACATACCTGACACCCCTACACTTTTCAACTACATCAATCACTGGCTCTTTCCGCTTTAAGTATTTTCTCTCTCAATCACCTACAGAATGAATGGTCGATGTGCTAATATTATTGGAAGAGGTCCTTGCCATCTGCAAAATTATGAAACTCAACTCAGAAAAGCAAAGTAGAAAGAGAAAAAGGGATGGGATGTGGGAAGAGCGTTCCTCCTAGGCTTTTCTGAATCTCTGAAGAAAAATGTTTCATATTTTACTCACTGTCCTTTATTCTGTTTTCAAACTGGGGGCTTTCAGAGGCAGCAAAGACCTTAGAATCAACCCCACCATTACACAGATGGGGAACCAAGATCCAGAGAGGGGATGTAACTCTGCTCTTCATACAATAAATCAGTAGTAGGACTGAGACTGGAACCCAAGTTATTGACTCCAAAGAATGCTCCACCTTTCTGTGTGACCTTCCTCAGTGCTTTTTTCCAGGCAGGGTCACAAGTCAGCAGAGCTTGGGAGGGTTCTTGTGCTCCTGTGCGCTGCTGGGCCCCAAGGATCCACACCTTATCCAGAAATGTCTGCAGTCTGGATGTCTTTTGAAGTTCTGTGGGCACAGGCAAACAATCAGTGGAGTGTTGGCCTGGGGATGCAAAGGGAAGGGGAAGGGAACCAGCCCCTCTCTCTGCCTGGGCTTTATCCTCTCTCAGGAAATAGGCCCATTTAGGGGACTGGCCCGGGAACCCCAGCTAGGGTTGGGGTTCTAGGGATTAGGGCCAAGCCAGACATTGCTCAGTGTTGGTCACAGCAGGAAGGAGCCGCAGGAGGATTCAGAATCTGCTAAGGGTCAAAAGCGGTTAAGCAGGATTTATTAGGCAAGTCCAGGGCGTCACGTTCAGCCACAGGGCCAGATTGGTGCAGCCCCTTAGGTCAGTAATCGCAAAGGCATAAATGGGACCGAGGGGAGCCAGCACTAATTGTCCTCAGGACGTGGTGAGAGTGGCTCTTCTGGGGTGGAGACTGAAGGGCAGGGGAAAGGAAAGCGAAGAAGGAGCCTAAGACCTAGGACGGGATCAAATCCGAAGCGGAAGGAAGGGGAAACGCAAGGCTCGGCCTGCCGCTCGTCCACAAACCACTCAAAGCCGCACAGGAGAAATGACCTTTAATGTCGACTTTGTTTCCAGCCCCACCAAAGTGCCATCCTTCAGTGAAGTACAAGGAGGGGCTTGAGAGGTACGAAGTCACGACACACACAACGCCCCCGGCTGCCTCCTGGGCGCACACTCGCTCCGCCCCCACAGGGCGGCCCCACGCGCACACACATGCGGAACACACGCACACCGCAAAGACACACTCACTTGCACCCACGGTTAAATACAAGTAGAGAGGGACTCGTTTATATATACACAGAGGGAGAGAGAGAGGTAAATCCCGGCGGCGTCGGGTCCCCCAGGCTCTCAGCATGCTCGGCCCGGCTCTCCGCGTGGTACCTGGCACCCATGCCCCTGCCAGAAAAGCAGCTGCCCCTGTCCCTGGCCCTCCCCCCCGGTTCCCCTTGGGGCGCGCGTCTACCCGGCGTGGACGCTCCCCTCCCCCCTCCACCCCGCCCTCCCCTCCCCCCCACGATGTTTTCCTCCCCAGGGAAAGGAAGCTGCGCACGGGGGCCCTAAAACTGCCCGGGCGCCAGGGGCATGTTGCTTTTGAAGCCCGGCTGCCCGTTGGCCACGTCGGCCGCGGCCTCGCAGCCTCCGTTGCTGGCGCCGCCGTCGGTCCCGGGGCTCTCGGGCTCGGCCAGGAGCTTGAAGGTGAAGAGCTGGCCCGAGTCGTGGCGGCCGCGGCGGCCGGGGGCCTCAGGCGCGGGCAGGCTCAGGAGGGCGCCGGGCGCCTTCCACTCGGGGAAGGCGCACAGCTCGACTGGCGGCGGCGCGCCGCGGCCCAGGTAGCCCGGGCTCGGCGAGGCCGAGGGCAGGGTCCGCTGGCTGCCGCTCAGGCAGCTGCCGCTGTCGTCCAGCGAGTCCTTGCGCGACTGCGAGCGCTCCAGCGAACCGCCGCGCGTCCACGGCCGGTAGGTGTAGGCGCAGCCGCCCAGGCGACGGCGGCGACGGCGGCGTCGGCGGCCGCGGCACTGGCACCCGAGGATGCGCACGAAAGCGCGCTTGAACTCCTTGCTGGAGCATGGGTAGATGATGGGGTTGAGGCAGCTGTTGAAGTAGCCCAGCCAGAACACCACCTTGAACACGGCGTCGGGGGGCTTCAGGGTGGAGAACAAGGAGCCTGCAGTGGGGAGGGGGGTGGGCACGGGCAGAAAGACAGCAGTTTGTGAGTAGTCAAGCTCTCGCCCCAATATGCTCCTCAACATTGTCAACCCGCAGCGTTTCTGCCGCCAGGCCTTTCCCCGAGCCAATTCCTTGGCCCGGAATACCTCCCTTTCCATTTCAAAATGAATGAATCCTACATTCATTTTTAGGGCCAGCCTCAATAACTTCGCCTTTGTCCATGAAACCTTTCTTGATCTAGTTGAACAGCATCTAAGCTCCTATAATTTCTTCTGGTAGCCCTTGGCACCTTCTATCAAAGTGGTAACAATAATCGCCCACAATTGCACATCGCTTTTGGGTCAGGCACTGTGCTAGGTGCTTTCCCGATATTAGTTTATCCTTCACAAAACGTCATGAAGTAGATGCCGACTTATTTCCGTGGAAAGTAGAAGGTGTATTGAAGACCTAAATGTGAAAGGTAAAGTTTTAAAGGTAAAAGAGGACAACATAAAAGACTATTTTTTTGATCTAGGGGTGGAGAAAAACAGTACTTCAAAAGGACGAATCATGAGGCAAGAATCTGAGAAGATATTTACAATGTCCAAAACAGTCAAGCGATTGATATTTAGAATATGCAAGGAACTCTTACAAATCAGCAAGAAAAAGTGTTCCCAGTAGAAACACTTTTTGGGCAATGGAAATTAGCAGGAAATTTACAAAATAGGAAACTCAAGGGCTAATGAACATATGAAAAGATAATCAAAATATCAGGCAGTCAAATAAAATAAAAACCGCAAAGAGGCTGAGTGCAGTGACTCATGCCTGTAATCCCAGCACTTTGGGAGACCAAGGCAGGAGGATCACTTGAGCCCAAGGGTTTGAGCTCTGCCTGGGCAGCACAGGGGGATCCCGTGTCTACAAAAGAATTAAGCATTAACCAGGCGTGTTGGTGCGTGCCTGTAGTCCTAGCTACTTGGGAGGCTGAGGCAGGAGGATTGCTTGAGCGCAAGAGTTCAAGGCTGCAGTGGACTATGATCGTGGCACTGCGCTCCAGCCTGGGTGTCAGAGCAAGACCCTGTCTCTAAAAAAACAACAACGAAAATGAAAACCACAAAGGAACGTATCTGATAGGCTGGCAAACATTAGGAAGCTGGATGCTTCCAAGTTCACACAGGGGTGTGGCGTGTGGGGACTCGAGGAGCTTTGTGCGTGGCTGGTGGGGGCACAGGCTGTACACACATCCTGGAGATGACTCTGGTAGCACTTGGTCTAATTAACTATACATACATCTTGTGACCCAGCCATTTTGCTCCAGGTCACAGATCTCAATGAATTTTCACACAAGTCCATAAGGGTTCATATATGAGGGGGCTCATGGCAATATTGTTTGTAGGGACAGAAGGTGGGAGACAACCTGGATGTCCCTCCCTGGGAAAAGTAGAATGGGGTAGATGCATTCTTAGATATTATGCAGCATTTAGAGGCCCGGGGTGACATGTCCACATGACCACATGGAAAGATCTGAAATACATGGTTCTTTGTGAAAAAAGTAGGAAATAGAATGAGGTTTATGACATAATACTATTTAAGTAGCTCACCAAACAACCACATGCATTTTGCAAAAACACACTCAAATTAACAAAAACATATTAAAGACAGAATGCCTAGGGGTGGAAGCGGAGGGAAATGGGTATGGGAATAAAAGGAAATAAATCAATATAATGAGACAGGCCTGGCATACACTCATGATGATGAGATGTTACGAATAAGAAACATGATTAACTCACCCCTCTGAATTTGAGATCCCAAAACATTTTATGGCAATATTCAAAACAATTTCCATTTTAAATATAAGTCAGCTGAAACTTAGAGAGGTTAAATGACTTGCCCCAGGTCACACAGCATGCATGTAATATATCTGGGATTTAAACTAAATTCTATTTGAATAAAAATGTGTCTTTTTTTTTAAAATAAAGAAGATGCAATTAATAATCTGTGTAGAGATAAGAAAATATAAAAATGCAAAAAGGAAAACTATTTTAAAAGCACATATAACTCTGCAGTGCCAAAATACCATATTTTAGTGTCTATACTTTCAGATTTTTCCTCTTGTATATACAAATTTAAATATCTTAAGAAAATGGAATACTTTCTAGAACATTTTGTACCTTCTAACCGTGTCTCTGTCCCTGCCACCTGGCTTGTGGCATATTTTGTATTCCTGACTTCTCAGACTGAGCTTCCCAAGGGCCTGGTCTGTGGGATCATCACTGAATTTATTTGTTAAAAGAAGAGTCAACACTCTTAGAGCATATCTGAATGGGAGGGATCTTAGCAACTGCCAAGTCCAACCAATTTGCAAGTGGAGACACCAAGACCCAGAGAGTAGCTGAAAATCCCTGAGGTGGTTGGCACAGATGCCACATGGATTCCCATCTTTGATTTTGGATTGCTCTTGCATTTCCTCTCTGTAGCATTTCACTTTCTTGATTATTTGAGATTTGGCCTGTTTCAAACCTCAAATAATCAAGAAGAAGAAATATAGGAGCCTGACTCCTAATTCTCTGCGCAGTAACTCAGTGGTGGCTACTGGGGGGGCAGTGGCTGGGCTCTTGGTGCAGGACTAAGTCAGTCAGGAATTCAACTTAGAAAGAGGGTTATCCATACCTGGATGTAAGCGCCAAGTGTAAGTACTGACCTCTTTTCAGGTCAGGGGGAAATGTGGCAGTGGGATACTTTTTAGGTTTGGTCTAGGTGAGATAAGGGAGGGCACTATCTTGTGGCCTGTTTTGTGACAAGATTCACACCATTAGTTTGGGGTTTCACCATTGGAGCTACTCTTTTGGATTAAGACTCTGTACAGAAGGCCCCAGCTGAAACGCAACTATGGTATATGAACACCTAGTTATCCCCTGATGCGGGGAGTTGTCTCTGTCCACAGGGATGGGCTTATTTCTGTCACTGAGTCTGAAGAACATAGGAAACTGGCCTTGACAAAATGGGACACTGGGGAATAAATTTTGGAGAGGGCCAGACATGGTGGTTCACGTCTGTAATCCCAGCACTTTGGGAGGCCAAGGCGGGAGGATAGCTTGAGACCAGGAGTTCGAGACCATCCTGGCCAACATGGCAAAACCATGGACAGGATCTAGAGCAGGAAAGCATGTTTGTTGAGGACCAACTTGTAACTTCATTTGGTGCCAACCCTGTTGAAGGTGGTTGTGAAATAGGCAAATGGATTAATGAGGACACAACCTGAGAAACTGGCTCTTTTAAAGGTTGCACGAATATCAATAATGCTAATAGCTACGATTCATCATAGCCAACATTTATCTTGTGTGTGTGCTCTGCAGGTCCTGTGCTAACTCTTCACACCACTAGCTTATTTAATTTTTATAATTGGAATGTACCAGTGAGGAAGGTACTGTTGTTGGTCCCATTGTTTTGGATCAAGAGACTAGTATATGGTAGTCATAGTTATTTAAATTCTTATATGTTCATTCATGTGTTCATTCATTCATCCGTCCCACAAACACTAAGCTCCTGCTAAGTGCTAGGCATGAGGACAAGCTATGGGAATACAGAGATGAGTTTGGGGTGTGGTGTTGCACCATGGCAGCTAACAGGCCATTCAACAGAGCAAATGTAGCATTAGGAAGGGCATACATTTCACTTTCCCCCTATGTCCGTGTGGCATATGTTTTTTGGTTGTTCTTCACGTCCATCACACTGGAAGTGCCTTGTCAGGGACAATGATGGGCTAGATTTTTGCCTTCGTTTTCTTACAAAGTACCCTCCAAGGACCATGGCCTTGAGAAGTGTTCAGCCAAAGGTGAGGGGGTGATGCCAACTTTTCTCATGGGCATTTACTGCCACATTTTGGATTTGGGCTCGTTACACTGTTTATTCGTCTGAGAAGAAGCAGCCAAGGGCCATTCTTTGCCCTTGGCTCATTATGATTAGGCAGTGTGGTCAAGTGGCTGGAACCCAGAAATTGGGATGACACAGACCCATATTGAAACCCCTCTTGAGTTATTAGCTGTTCAGCTTTAGAAGAGTTAATTAGCCATCTCAGCCTCATTTTTCCCATCTGTAAAATGGGGACAATATCTGTGTCATAGAGTTACTATGAATACATGAAAATATCCATGTAAAATACTTGACACAGAGTCTGGCATCTTGAAAATAATAAGTAGTGACCATTTTCTAAATATACTTTATATCCTGGCCCATTCTTCTCGAGGAACTCAGCTCTGATTAGCCCCACCCAACTCAGATGGACTTCTTTATTCTGCACCCCATAGAATTCATACAAGCAGATCGTATTTTGTTATTTTATTATTTGCTTTTTCATGTTAAGCCATCCCAGGGCTGGCTGAATCCTGGTTCGTCACCCAGATTGTAAATTCCTTCTGGGAAGGAGCTATATCTTCATTTCTTTTCTTTTCCTTTCCAGATTTGTATATTTTTTTATTTCAAAAGTAATCCATGCTGAATTTAAAAAATACATATCACAAAAAGTCTAAGTCTAGAGTAAAAATACTCCACTTAAGCAGAAGGGATCAGAGTTAACAGTTTTATTTTGAATCCTTCCAGATTTTAAAAAATGGGGTCATACTGCACATTCCTTTCCCCAAATTGCTCTCTTTGCTTAGAGTATGTAAAAGATATTTCCCTGTCAAAGTACGTGGTGCTATTTCACTTCTCTCCCCGCCCCACAAGGGCTGCATTACATCCTACTGTCCGGATAGATGGTAGTTTTATTTAATGCCTTCTCTATAGGTGATTTCCAATTTTTGGCTATTATGGACTGCAGTGATGAAAAGCCACATGCATTCACTTTTTGCATGCACATTTGAGTGTTTCTGTGCAATAAATTCCACATGAGGAGTCACTGGGTCATCTCCACTTTTAAGCACTGTCAGCCAAATTGCCTTCTGAACTGGTTGTACTAATTTACCCACCTATCAACTGTGCCTGACTCTGACATTTTCCCTACAACTCCCCAGTTCTGGG